AGTAGTGACACAATTATGTACAAGGGTTTGAGTCATACTAATATCCCTCTTGCCAAGCTTCAGTAAAATTTTAAATGCATTATTATATGCAACACGAACTCGATTAATCGCTAGGAATTATTTGGGATGGATCTTTTCCTTGCGCTGGCGCACATACCCCACATCACTTTCTTTTACTCTAGAAACAACTGAAAACTTCAGTCGAGTACAGGGCATATTGAATCTAAAATATGTCCCATCTAAAAACTAAATGATAATCTTGTGTTATATGTATGTACATATAATGATGAAGAATTAAAACTAGAATGTTAATATATATTTAAATAGAGATGACAAATCAATTTTTTCACAGGTAGAATTACGGGTAATTATTATTTCATTCAAACAACCAGCTATCTATTAACTGTTTTGATATTTATCTAAAGCCTGTGTTATTTTGAATTCAACACACAGGGAACTGCAACGCTTGGATAGCATTACAAGATCACCTATATTTGAACATTTCTCTGAAACCGTTGGAGGGTTGTCAACAGTGCGAGCATTCAGGTACATATAGATCTTTGAGATCAAAATGTGTGTTGTTGTAAAGTATACAAGTTCAGACACTTGTATTTGGAATGTCATTTATAAATGGATTATAGATTATCTATACTTTTTCTAATCTTTGAATGTTCTAATTTATTCCAGGCATGAAGCAAAGTTCCGGCAAAGTTTCATGCACCGAATGAATAAGAATAATTTAGCGCAGTTATATTTAAATTACAGTCATAGGTGGCTTGGAGTTAATCTGGTGAGTGGATATCCACAATGTGTCAGCTCACGTACTCGTATTTATGCTAATGACGTTGTTCATATTGAATTTTTTATTACTTATTATTATTAATATTCATTATATAGTACAACTCGATACTGCGTTAAATATTACTAATAAATGTTACTCTCATCGTACGATTAATTTAAATTTTGTATAACGGTAATATCTAATTCCATGGCGACTTTATAACATATGACTACTGCAGCAATAACAGCATAGTAATATTATTCTGTTCCTGTATACAGTATATGACATTACATTGCATTATTACATTATTTACAGGAAATACTCGGTGCTCTCGTTATTCTGATTTCTGGCTTGTCTTCGCTTATATCATGTGAGCTGGGCCAGATTGAACCAAGTTTGGTAGGATTGGCGTTGACGTATTCAGTATCGGTATGCATAGATATATATATATCAGTTCCGTTTTATAGAACTTGATAGACATTTGGCTATGTACATGTTTCATTGTAATTGCAGATTTCAGGTTTTTTAACATGGTTGGTTCGTGCTGGTGCAGACTGTGAGATGTACATGAACGCTGTGGAACGAGTCGAGTACTATTCACAAGTAAACACAGAACAATACCAAGGTAAGTGTTGAATACTGTATGTTTATAAAAACATTTCTCGAATACATAATCATTTAGTATCCATCACTTAATTATACTTTAATCATGTTTTCGATCATATATAAATCCTATCTATATCTATATAAGATTGGAGACTCGTACCTTTTTGTGGCTCAATTTACGACACTGGGTGATTGATATTTCTATATTTATTAACAGGAGTTTACAACCCTCCTCCTGATTGGCCAGATAAAGGTGATGTTATTTTAGAGAATGTGTCCGTGAGATATGCTACTGGGCTAGACCCTGTGTTACGTGATGTCAATGTTCGTTTCAAAGCTGGTGAAAAGGTGACGTGTAACGATACAATTCCCCCAAGAAATTCTTGAAAAAATGCTTCGAACAGATTGTCATATTATTGGTCATCGCTCTGATAGAAATATTGGTTATAACACAATCAAGAATTGCATTGGGAATTTTTATACCTGAATACAAACTTTCAAATAATGTTGCTTCATTCCAGGTTGGTATATGTGGTCGAACTGGAAGTGGCAAATCATCTCTGACTCTGGCGTTGTACAGAATTATTGACACATTTCAAGGTAATGTGTAACAATTAATAATTGTACTAAACAGGACTAGGTATTAGGTATGTCTCGCTTTGCTGTTTATGGATTTTATTGACTCCCATGTGCGAAGCACAAAAAGGGAGTCTTTGCAGTTAGTGTGTTTGTCTGTGTGTGTGTGTCTGTTCCACTGATATCTCAAGAACCATACATTGATTTTTGATGAAACTTGGTGCATAGA